TTCATAACCAGTCGGTGCGTCCGATAAGGATCGAATTTATACACCCTTTTTTTGGTTGTTTTGTTTGACGTGATTATGTCGAGTATAATACAATCAAGCGCAACAGATTTTGTACGAGCAACGAAAAAAAAGAAATGAAATAGAATAGATACAAAATAAATACACTAAAAGAAAATGGGTATATAATATCTTTTTAGTTACGCGGGCCTTTGGGTTATATTTTGTTCTTCCTACTTTGGATTTGAACCAAGGACTCCGCAGAGGAAAAGCAAATACTCTAACGCTGCGTTAAGTAGGTCATTTTTCTTCACAAAGAAAAAAACCAAAGGGACTCATCCATCGTATGGATTATAAATATGATATTACTTAGAAGCGAATAACGATCAATACGATCTTGGATAATGGTAATAGTAATCTTGTGAATATTCATCTTGACAAGGAATTATCTACATATAAAATATGTATTACAAGCACTAAGGGCTATAGCCTCAGTGGTAGAGCACTCGTTACACGCGCGCGATTGTTTTTCAGGGGAGTCATCTTGCAATCAAAAAAATTTGATCTTATTGAGAAATCATGTTGACTCCATATACTTTGAGGGAAGAAGAGAACAATAGTGCAAGGGTGTCGGTCTGTTTTTAGGTGCCAGTTAGGTTGCCAAACAGGAACCCCTTTCAGTTTGTTTTGATATATTGATAAGGTGAATACGCTGTCTACTCAAATGCTAGGCTGAGTATAAGGGGACTCAAAAAAAAATCTCTTTTTCGTCCTATGACTTTAAGGTGTATGAAGTTTATATTTGATTTTTAAGTAGGAGCGATAGAGACTATTTCACTTAGGTTAATATAGGCAGAGGCAGACCTACGTCAATGGATAACTCCTTGAAAAACTTTGGTGTGTTCTGAATCCTGAATCCACTAATGAGGGGGGGGGTCTCGAGCACACGGAGCCTTCTCCTTAATTATTCTGTCAAAAATAAAAGAATGGCGGACTAGCTGATATTTATATCAGTTAATGAAGAGCCCAAATGCTCAAAAAATTGAATGTTGGGTGCTCTTATGAAACAGTTCAAGATCATTTTGGATAATAATAAGTTTGATCTGTTTTACCGAAAGAAAGTCTATCGGTTCGAGTCCGTTAGCCCTAGCGCACTATTAAAAAATTGAAAAATTGGAATATTCTGTGTGTACAAAAAAAATTGTTCATTTTCATTTGAATGTCCTCGTTATGTTTTAACTGACTGATTGCTTCATCAAAAGACAATGATTCCTATATGCCCATTCATGGGGTTCGTGTTTTTAAAGTATAATATCAAACTAAAAGCATAAACACATTTCATTTCAATGGAACCCAATTCGATCTTTTTTCAGCTTGTGGATTAGCAAAAACTTTTATTCATTTACTTCTTCGTAGGAAATTTCGGATGGATAATTTTTCCTGTCGGATAATCAAGGAGTTAGTGATACTACCCTTCTTTGGTATACCCTATTCTAGTGAATTTGTATATGACACGAGTCGTGTTAAATACTCAACCTAACCACCCCCAATCAAAATCGTAATAACTAATTTACGTCGGTATTGTGCGCGGTTATTTGTGCACAAGATAAAGTTTGAAAAAAACGAATATCTTTGCTAATGCTAAGTTTCATGTAAATTGTCAACTAAAGTAAAATAGGCTTTCCTTCGTTTACCTTACTTAACTTAGACCTCGTCTCTCTTTTCGATATTCTATGAATAGAAATCCTCCATTGGGATTGGATTCTAATTAAAAGTAACAAGACGTATATTCTAAATCTTGAGATGAAAATTCGCCGCTCGCATTCTCTTACAAGCTGACTACCTGTTCTATTCTAAAACGACTAATAATAAAAGAGACAAATGGACATTATTCTGTAAAAAAATGAATATATTATATTAAAGATATTCAAATAGAAAGGTAATCGAAATTGATTTCAAATTTCGATCCAATTCTAATAAATAGAATTCAAATCGAAATAAAAATAAAAATAATGGATGTGTGTGTGTGTAATCCCTTTTCTTAGAGAGAATCCTCGGTAAGGATTGAGTTGAAAACATGAGAATTGTGGATAAAGAGCAATGTAAAATATAACTAAAAAAAAATAAAAAAGATATGTATAAAAATGGATTCTAAGCGATGAATTCTTGAAAGGAAACACACCAGAAGGAATAATTAGGATGGGGCGGGAGTTAGACCATTATCTTTTGACTTTTCTGTCATTTTAATGTTTTTATGTTTTTGGTTAGGAAGAGGGAGTGGCCTTAACCAAGTTTTCAAAGTTCAATAATTATTTTCGAATTGTTAACCGAAATTAGATCCGACCGAATTAAATTATTCGATTAATTATATTTCCGAATTTCCCGAATGTCGAATTTTATAAGTTGTTATTATGCCTAATTACGGTTATATGTGGAGATATAGACGGTTATATATTTTCCATCCCGCCGTTCATAGGAGTTGCTGCGTGTGGACTGGGTAGTGGTCCTATGTTTCTGCTTTTACGAATATGTTATTTTTTGGGCATTTCTGAAATAATATCCCAATTCTAAATCCTTTTTTGGTTATTTATTTTTTCTCATTTCGGGAATTTTAGCTCCGATTGGATTAGCAAAAAAGGACCGGAGAAGAAGAACTTTTCTAGGTTTGGAATCGGGGTTTATTTGAACCATTAGGCGACGCTTGGCTACAATTTTTGAATCCGTATATATTGTTTGCTCTAAGTTGGTTTTTTTTGATGTTGACAACGGTTTTTCTTATCCTGGGGCAACAATGAGTTCCCATCGATGTATTATGTGGTGTATCGTATTTGGTTGAAGCTTTCATTTCCGTGATTATCTTAATTGTTGGTTAGTTTATGCTATGGCGAAAGGTCTCTCCCCACACTTCAACCTTGGGCATTGGAAATGGTCTTAGCTCCCGATTATTCAGGGACAATAAAAAGAAAAAAGGAAAAAATTGAGATAGTTTGAATTTCCAATGAGTTTCCCTGATTTGATCGACATACCCCAAAATTCAGTTATTTCAACGAATAATTGATCTTACAATTTGGTCAAGGACTCTATTGTTTATGGCGCTTCTCTATGGTACCTGTTGTTGCTTCATTGAATTTGCTTTCACTAATAGGCTCACGATTTCGTCTTTGATATGTTTTGGATAGTACAAGATTTCGAGTGCCTAGACAAGCGGGACCTTATTTCTTTAACAGCCGGAAACTGTCGGAACAGTAACAATGAAAATGGCCCCCTTCCCCTCCCCTTCCTTAGTGAGATTATAACGAGCAAATTGCCTGAACCAAAATAGGTTTTTGCTAGGGAGCATGTACAATCCACAGGGGGGATGTTCAGGTACCGATTCTTATAGCCACTGTTCGTGGAGGGCGAGTCGATAAGCTCAATTTACTGTGGATGTCTATTTGCCGGCTCTGTCCACCCTAAACCAGAAGCAATTTATTGATGCTATAACAAAAACGTGTAAGATAAATCTCGAGAAATCTATCAGATTGAATTATGTCTCAGCGAGTGCGAAGCTCGGTGTTTTACTACCAATCACATGTTTCTGGTTGGCACATAGTATTCATACTGGAAATTTGATCAAGGATCCTTTATCTAACCGCATCTACCTCAGTGTTTCTCCGGAAGCATTGTTCAAATACAAAAGTTCAGTATCTTCCCACGATTAGTAAATTAGAAGGATCCTTTGCACAGAATGAAAAGTCAGTTCGTGGCCTCTCTTCAGAAATTTCATCGTAATTCTGAAATACTTATACAAAAAATGCTGGGAGAGATTAAAAAAGGGATCGAGGGTCATTTGTCTGCTTGGCTGTGTAAGATGGGCTAATTCATAGATCTTTGGGCTTTGTTTACCAAGATAAGAGACTTTACAAAATAAAACCCGGGGATGGGCATGTCCATGCTGTAATTGTAGATGTATAGGTTACAATTATCTCGTTCCCATAATGTGCCTATGATGTTGTAGCACCAGGCGGGATATTAGCGTAGTGTGTATCAATCCTTACTAGAATAGAGTATGGCGTGGATCAACAGAAGAGGTATGATACTAAAAGTATTTGCTCGAGGAAGGGGAGCCTAGAATTCCGTCTCTGTTTTCTGGGTTTGGAAAGGTGTGGATTTTCATGAACGGGATGTTATGATATGTTGGGAATCTCTTATGATAATCATCCACGTTTGAAACGTATCTTAATGTCCTGAAAGTTGGATAGATGGCCTTTACGTAAGGATTATATTGCTCCCAATTTTTATGAAATACAAGATGCTCATTGAATGATTAAAAAACTAATCTTCATTCTTCCAAATTATATAGAATCAAGGTTCATTCTTGATTAACCAGAGTAAATTGAGGTCTCGTTTGTATTTTGGTTATTGTATTTTTTTATTATGTATTGAATAAAAAAAAACATACATAAAATTAGGGATATCATTGGGATTCTCATATTTTGAAAAATACTTATTTCGGATGAGCATGTCGATGGAGGAACCAAATGGTGCTGCAGCATCAACTTTGGACTGCACACATCACTTAGGGGAATCTAGAAAGTCACATGCAATGTAGGAAGGAAATGGCAAATGGAATATCAAAAAAATACAAAATAATTGAAAAGGAAATCGGGGTTTTTTTTATTTGTACGGTATGCTGAACTGAATCTTGTCTATTCGCATCCTTCAACTTACTCATTGAATCTTTCAACCTTAAACCTTCGAATATGTATAGGTGTATGAAGTATTAACATTCTTTTTGAACAGAGGGAGGTGAAATAAAAAAGAAGATATATTAGAATCTCTTTTTTTTTATCCATACTTTGTTTTGTTAATAAACTCTTTACCCTTTTAAATATAAAAATAGATGGGGTTGATCTATAAAGACCGAGTTGGCATAATATCTGTTATTATTCTAGACTTTAAATTGAATATGTATTCATATCAATTAATTGTTAAAATAGAGACTCATTACAAAATTAATCATGTGTCAGGAACAGGATTTGAACTGGTGACTCGAGGGATTTTCAGTCCTTCTGCTCTACAAACTGAGCTATCCAAACTATTCCTGAGGTCTCATCCTCATTTTATTTTACTAGGATAACTTGGGTCTATGTCAATTGAAAAAGGGTATTACAAGCCTCATCCAGGTCCTATAATTTTCAACCAAGAACAACTTTGTAAGTTTCAGTATGAATAAAAATATCGTCGTGAATCATTCAAATGGGGATTCCTTGTCAAAGATGTTCATTTGTATATGTATCATATTATCATCACATGTGATAAGAGAAACAGCATTTCCGCTCAGACCCATTTGTATAAAGAGTAGTGAATGAGAATGAAAAGATAAGGAAATTTTTGAACCGCTAAGGAAAAAAAGGAGAATAAATAAAAATAAAAGATAGGAGAAATAAGTGGGAAGTCAAAGGGTTCTTTTTGGGGATAGAGGGACTTGAACCCTCTCGATTTTTTAAATCGACGGATTTTCCTCTTACTATAAATTTCATTGTTGCCGGTATTGACATGTAGAACGGGACTCTATTCTTTATTCTCGTCCGATTAATTCATGTTTGTTCAAAGATCTATCTGATTATGGTGTGATTGTTTGATCAATGCATATTCGTTTCTTTCTTAAATATGGAATCGTTCTCAACAATTCTTCATATATATGTATACAGGTTTATTCCTTCCTTTTATGAAGTTTCGATAGAAGGATTCCTTACAACGTAAGACCAATCAACTCCATTCAGGTAGAACAGCTTCCATCGAGTCTCCTGCACCTATCCTTTTTGATTTTCGCTTTCGGAACCTTGTTTGTTTTCGGGGAAAACGTGATTGAGGCTCAGGTTTGCCCCATTTTTATTAATTCCAGGTTTCTTGAATTGAAGTTATCACTTAGTAAGTTTCCATACCAAGGCTCAATCCAATTAAGGGTCCGTAGCGTCTACCAATTTCGCCATATCCCCCTTTTTGAGTTGAAAAAATCTTCATATTGATCTCGTTCCCTTTTTTCTTTCATTTATACCGCGAATTCATTAGATGATGCCGAATCTGTCTCGAAAAAGTGTGTTTTCTCCCCTTTGTCTTGATTTATTGTCTATCTTCTTTCATCTTCTTTGGGAGCTCATCTTTGGTCCAATCAAAAACGATTTTATCATTTCTGTTTCCGAAATTCAATATAGGAGGATACATACCTATATACATCTGTCTCGCTTCCATCATTTATACCGATGCATTTTCGAATACTTGAACGGTCGACTCCTTTTTTTCTTTTTTATTTAAAAAAGGGTACAAAAAAGAAAAATTGAAAAGTTTTTATTTTTTTAAAAATTTAAAAGGGTTAATCCCATAAAAAAAATTTGGGGTTTAATGAGAAGGAACCATTTTGGAACCTTTGGAAGTTTTGTTGGTATGGGTTTAAAAATCCTTTCTACAGGGTGAATTTTTTATTAATAATATTTTCCTTATGGACGTTGAAAAGTTTCCCTTAAATAAATTTAATTAATTTGAGGTTCCAAAAATTGCATAAACCTTTTTGGGCCAACAAAAATGTTTTTTGGAAAGTAATAGATTTGCTTCTTTTTTAATTTCCTTTTTATTTTAGTATTTAATTTTAAAAAATTTAAAACTTTGTTGGCTTTCCTTTTCTAAATTTTAGTTTTAAAAATTTAAATTCGTTTTTTTTTATTCTTTTTTCAATTTGTTGAAAAGGGTTCTTAAGTCTATAACCCACTTTTTTCACTGGTAAATAAAAATTTTGCAATTGTTGAAATTTTATGGAGGTTAATTAATGGCCGTTGGCCCTACGGTTTTTCCAAATTTATACGCTATTATTTCTTTTATTAAAAAAATTTTTTAAAAAAATATTATTATGATTTTTTTCTTAATAAATATCTGGAATCTATTTCTTTTTTAATGAAATTTTTTTATTTGGGAACAATTTTATTTTTAAGGGACAATCCTTTTTATGGTTGGATTGGGGTTTTGGTAGCTATCATGGTTTTCTCCTTTAAATAGTACTTTGGTAAAGCTATCCTTTTTTACCACTGAGATTAATGTTTAGGAAACTAAGGATTTTAAATTTTTTTTTAAAAATTTTTCTGTTGGGGGTTTTACCCTGTTTTTGATGGTTTTTTGGTTTGATTAAATTCCTTGGTTTTTTTAAAATGGCCAAATTTGAAGGAAATTTTCGGAGATTTAAATAATTTTTGTTTTTTTGGGGCTTGAATAACTTTAAAAATTTTAAATTTTGTAAATTTTATGGTGCTTTTTGGTTTTTTTTTAAACTGCCAAAAGGTTTTTAAAGGCCCGGGGTTTCAAATTTTTGAACTTGGGGGAAACCCACTTTGTTTTGGAAATAAATTTCTTTCTTTAAAATAATGAAGAATACAAATTTTTTTTCCCAAAAATTCAATTTATTTTTAGCCCTTTGGGAAATTTTTTTTGAAGGTATTTGGGCCTCTATTTGGGAGGGTTTAACATACTTTTATCTGGTGATTTTCCTGTTTAAAGTTAAGGGGAAAAAAAATTGGGAAGAAAAATTAAAAATTTTTCTCAAATCCTCAAAAGGGAAAAAATTTTAAAATTTTAAAAAGAAAGGAATAAAAAATTAAACCTTGCAAAATTAAATTTTTTAAATTTTTTTGAAAAGATTTAAACATTTAACTATAAGGGAAACGTAATGTTACCCCTTTTGGAGGGGTTTCTCCCTTTGGGGCAAACCCTTTTTTTTAGATGGAATTCATAGTTTAAGAAGGTTTCTTTTTTTGCTTTTTTTTCGGTAATTTTATTTTTTGGTTTTAATTTTTGAAGAGGCTTGGTATCAATTCTTTGGCATCCTTAAACCGTCTTTCATTTGTAAAAAAAGCTTCCCCAGGTCTGGAAAGAATACCTTTTTTTGGGCCCTTTAAAAGGGGGGGAAATTTTCCCATTTAAAAACGCATTTTTAATAATCTTATTTAATATTTTGATTTGTTTTGAATTAATCCGCTTTTTTAAAAATTTTAAATTTATTTTCCCTTGGTTTGGGGAAAAATTTTTTTTAAAAATTTTTTTTTTTATTTGGAGAATTTTTCGTTATTTTCAATTGAAATTTAATTTTTTGAAAATCAATTATTTTCAAGAGAATTGCAATTTTTCTTTTTATCTGTTTTTATTTTAAAATTTAATGTTTATAAATTAATTCGGGCCTTTTTTTTGCCCAAATTTTTTTTTTTAATGTATCCCCCAAGAATTCCCAAAATAAAATCATTTTCTTAATAAAAAAATCCCTTTTTTTTACGTTTAAAAAAAGGGTATGAGTAATCCAAAAAATTTTTTAAACGATTAAAATAACCTTTTTTTTGTTATTTGAAAAATTAATTTTTAAAAAGAATTTACCCAATTTTTTATTATACATCTTCTTTTTTTAAGGGGAGGGTAGATAATATAGGTTTGATTTATGTTTTGGGTTTTTCCCTTCGATGAATTTGAAAATTTTTGAATTTAAAATCTTTTTAGTTGCGGGAAATTAAGTCCCCTTTTGAAGATATTTTTAATAATTGATTCCAATTTGGGGGGTTTAAACCGGGGTGCCTTGTTTTATATTTGATTTCCCTTTTTTGATGGTTTAAAATTAAGGTTTTATTTTTTTATTATTAATAATTTGGGGGTTTTTCATTTCAGTAGAACATTTCTAAAAAATTTCAAAAGTTAATTTTTTATAATCTTGGGGACTGGGGAAGGGAAAAATAATCCTATTAAAAAAGTCTTAGAAATTCCACATTCAATTGCCCAAGGTGCCTTTTGGCAAATTAGAAAAATTTAGAACAATGGGGAATCAAGGAAAATCCTTGAAAGGGGGTTCGCCCCCAAAAAATTTAAATATAGGAATATTTTTAGACCCTTCTAATTGGTATGTTTTTAAATTTTTCCTTTTGAAGTTTCAAACCTTTCAATAAGACTTTCCCTAAACTTTTTTTAAAAAATTCTTGACTTGGGCCTTTGGCTAGTTATGCCTACCAAGTTTCTGCCCAAAGGAAAATATAAAGCTTGACTTGAATGTCCCTTTTCGAATTTAACCAAAAAAGGACATTCATACAAGAAAAGGGTAAATCTTTGAATAATTTCAGACCGAATGGAAACCATCCTGACAAGTTTTATAAAATCCGTTACTGTCAATTACTGCGTGTCCCCTATAATAAAAAAAAAATCTTTCTATAAAAGCAAATGGGTTCTACATATTTGCTATCTAACAAGTTTTCAGTTAAAAAAAATTTTTATAGTTAAAATGACAAAAAATTATGTTTATTTAGTAAAGTCTAATTTTAATAACAACTTCATTTTCGAGGGTTTCATCTCCCAAACATCCATGTAAAAAGGGAAAAAAGTTAGGTTTTTTCCAAAAGGAATTAATTCCCAATCCAAATCAAAATTCAAAAATTATATGGGATTAATACTCCAAAGAATTTCCTTCAAATGGCAACTGTTGGGGGTTTTTAAGCAGGAAAATTTACAATAAAAAAAGGTTGGTCCGACCTTTTAAGTTTAATCATTTGGACACACCCGTTTTAAAAATAAACCCGGGGCCAATTAAAAAAAGATTGGTATTTTCAAGCAAAAGGGGGAGTTATTGAGTTAGGTGAACCTTAATTTTGGGTTATGGATTCCTTGGGGAAATTAGATTAAATTTTTGGGAAAGTTTCGAAACAGGATTTCACTATCCTGGTAAATTTAAGGATTCAATTGGTGAAGCAACTAAACTTTAATAAAAAACCTTTCTTATTATTGTTAACACTTTTGGTTTTACAATTTTTTTTGATATTAGCTTTGGGCATCGTAAATTACATAGTTTTGGGATTGAAACAAAATTTTTTATCCTTTCTAAAGCTTCTTTCCTTATGTACAGATTAAGGTACAATACTTAATCCATTTTTCTTGCTTTCTTTTTTTATTAAAAATAAATGATATTTACTACAAAAACTTTCGAATCATGAAATATGAATTTAATCTTATATGGAATTAGGCCCGGCATTGATGATAAAGTCTCTATTTAAAAATCAGTGAACTTTTGAATGTAAATATC